TATACATAATAAGATAAATTAATTACTTATTGTTAGTTAAAATAAGACATTAATATTTGTAATATTTACAACTATTGATCTTCTTGCGGACTACTTTTAATATATATTATCACAATGAAAAGATGCATAATTTTCCTCACCTATATAGATTGTTGTGTCGTTGTATCTATGTTATAATCAGTTATTTTTCCATAAAATCCTGAACAATTTATTTATGTTAGTGAAGTGCTCATATGTTGTTTTAAGACGTTTGTTCCGGAATATATTTTAGTAGAATAATTGCAATGTACGCAATTTGCGCGATACTTTTTCATGTCAAATGTGAAATGTGTCGACAGCCAAGTACCTCTTGTAATTTTTTCTCGTATCGCAACTAATACTTGTGAATGATATCTTCCCAGATGTTTTACTAAAGTATCTTTGTTATACGCACTATAAAATAAACGTTTGCAACGTTTGCATTTTGCAGTATATAAGTCTACTTTTAAGAAATATTGCCACAGCACATCGTTGTCCTTGTTCCATCTTGATAACTCCTCTTCTTTAAAGATTTTATGATTACGGTACAAATGTGTTTTCAATAAGCCAAAATTGCGATTACTGCAAGTATAATCACAAGTATTGCATTTCATGTAAAATTTGTCTACTTTACTAAAATGCTCGTACAACCAATAATGTTGATTATCTTTTTGCGCTGCCATGTCCGCACAGTATCACGGACCGTGTGTTACTGAATGTACACAAATGTTTAGTCTGTAACCCCGGGGTCTCAGTACAATGAAGAAGGGGACTCAGTACAATGAACTATAGTCAGTGTTACTGATTATTGATTATATGAAGGAAAATGTACAGGGAAACTGTTTGAAGGTCAAAGAGAAACAGACTCAACAGACAAAGAGACTCTGTATTAAAATGTAAATAATACTATTCCGTATTAATTTAATATTTACACCGTATTTTCGTATATCGTATTATTTTCGTATTTAATTATTTCGTATAGAATGCTCATCGAAACGTTTGCGACAATTACACTTGCAAATCGCGATCTGTCAGGCGATTTTATATTGGCGATGCTTTGAAATGATTCCCCGGGTCGGTCTATTAGACCGAGTCGACCGCGGCACACAACGACGCCTAGGGGACCGTCCCCCTGAGTTGGTGCGCCATGTGTCTGCGGCAACGCCTTGGGGCAGTTGCCCTGGGTCGCTCACGGACTCGCAACAATACTTTGGGGTTGTAGCCCTGAGTCGCGAATGGCTTGGCAACGCACTCTTACGCACTCGATCTGTCGCTTAGACTCGCGAGATCTGACTTTGATGTGCAACAATCTTCGCTACGGATCGAATGAAGGAAAATCGTCCTTTTCTCGCTCGCGCATTCCAGATTTTCCTTGTTTAAGAGAACGCAGGTAGCCGAGAAATCGTCGTAAGTTTGACGGACGCTGCGTCGAGATACCATACAATTACGCATATGTTATGCGTAAATTAGCCGTTTGTGTTCTCGTATTATGTACGTTCGAACGCATTTATGTACCTATACACATATGTATCGCATGTGTTATACATGGCCTGTCCCAAAAGTAAGATTATTTTTTTGCGTCCCAATCAGAATTGTGGAGAGTCGATCCATGGTTAGAGCTTTTGGTGTAGGATGTCGGGTATACAATCTGATCCTTCTTCCAATAGTTGCCTCTGAGCCTTTCTAGCAGTCGATACCGTCAACAAAGTGCGTTTGTAATTCTTGTGTCTTGTCACAAAAAATTACAACGCACTTTATTGACGGTATCGACTGCTAAAAAGGATCGGATCAGGCAACTGGAAAGGATCAGACTGTATACTTAACATTCCATACCAAAGACCTCGTTCAACCCTCCGACAATTCTGATTATTGACGCCAAAATTAGTCTCATTACTTTTGGGACAGATCATATGAATATGTTATATATGTCGTGCACGACTTTCGGTTTCGTCGTTTCAAATACTATCTTGTTTGAATTTTGCTGTTAGATTATATAGTTTTATTTCTTTTCTATAATTACCTGATTCTCGTAGTCAAACATTTAAATTAAATATGTCGATAATATATTCATATAATTTATAATTAATGCTATTATATTAGTAATGTTATGTTATTAGTATCAAATATTAGGTATGTCCTCGTATCAAACATCGCAAAAAGTTTGAATTATTTAAAAACAAATAAAACTTTTATTTTTTTAATTAATTAATACAATCTATCGATTTAAGTAAATCATAAATAAAAAATGTGAACTAGAGACTAACATTTATATCTGACTTATTGATGAATATTATATAATTTATAATACAATATTAAATTTTTTACAATGACTGTAAATTTAAAATAAAATAACACATTATCATACTTTATCTGTATCACTTTTCTTAAAGATATATTTAATTTTGACTAAAATTTCTTTTCGTTTCTGACTCTTTTAGTATTCTAATATAACTCTTAAGTAATCCTAAAATTTTTAACAGCCGCAATAGTCAAGTCTGATAACCTAACAATTATATTGTTTAAAATATAGTAAAGATGAAATAATTAAAATTTGTATGCAGTATTTATTTATTTTAAAATCGTACACGTCCTAACGGCTTGCGACTCGCAATCAATCTCTCGTTTCTCTTTTTCGCTCTGCATTTTTCTGATATAACCAAGGTGTAGAGGAGCCAGCTAAGAATGCGTGAGCACATAAAAAGAGACAGAAAACGAGTCGCCCATCTGCATCCTTGTTCAATTGCGCATGCGAGAAAAAGATAAAAGATGGATGTACCCTTCGCTCTTCCATTTTCTTTCTCTTTCTATCAGCTCACGGTTCCAGTCAAAGGCGCCGCCAGGTCTCCCCTACTCTATGTATATAAACTCTTTGGATATAACCCGTTACCATGGATTCGTGCTATAATATTATCAGAATATCACGTTACGCGACATTTCTC